ATGATGATGATGATGATGATGATGATGATGATGATGATGATGATGATGATGATTATGATGATGATGAAGGTGGCGGTGGTACATATTACTTCATATTATATTGCTGCAATTAGTTTCACTCCCAGTTGTTCCAGAGGAAGCCTTCGCCTTCGAGGCAATACGTTGACCCATTTTAATAAACAACTTTTTAGGGGTGAATACTGGAATTTATATGTACAGCAGAACACTAAGTCTCATCCTCCGTATTCACTGACACATAACGGCTTCCTTCAGGGAGATGAGAAGCCGTTCTGTGACAGATTTGACTATTAGTCACATGGTAACAGAATCTCTACACTTCGGAGAGACCCGAAGGAAATATTCTAAATGCAAAAAATTGCAAGACCTGTTTTCCGTCGTTGATCCCAACAAAATCCTTGATTTTATAATTGCCTTTGGCCTTCATGGGAAATTATGAAAAAAGTAACATTTTAAATGCTATTTTAAAAGTTATTTTAAATTAAGAATTTATTTACCTCAAATTTCTAGCGTTTAAACATTTTAATTAGAAATATTGACCAAAATCAGGCCGAGCAGTGAACAATAGTGAATAACACCAACTTGTTTCGCGCGCTCATAGTATGACCTCATGCAGTTTTAAGCGCCGTGAAACTCTTGCTAAAACAAAACAAAAAACAAGATACACAGAGTAAGAACGTAGATCTATAGAGATCAGCACAAGCAGAGCTGACTGTTTGCACTCACATACCTTAAGATTCTCCACAATCAGACGTTTCTCTTTAGAGTACCTCACGTGGATCGGCAAAGTTGTGATCTGCCTTTTGGTCAGCCCCAGGGGGTCAGGGGTTAACGTGTCGGTGGCGATCATTTTGATGTTTCGCTCATCAGCTAGCCACATCCCGGCTGCCTCGCTCACTGCAGGGTGTCTGAAAGAAAAAAGGTTCCCTATATCCTTAGAGCCGGCGTACTCCTGAGGTTGAAGGAATTTCTTGGACCAGTCAAAGTGGAAGACAACGGCGGCGCGGTCAGGGATACGACCATGTTCCTTTTCCCAGTCCAGGAGTTTCTGCAGAAAAACAACGTCAACTGAGGTGAAAGACGGAAGGAACAATAGGCATCCTCCTCCTCCTCCTCCTAGCCATCGTCATTGTCGTTCTCCTCCTCCTCCTCTTCTTCCTCCTCTTTTTCCTCCTCCTCCTCCTTTTCCTAGCCTTCGTCATCGTCGTTGTTCTCCTCCTCCTCCTCCTCCTCCTCCTCCTCCTTCTTTTTTTCTTCCTCTTCCTCGTCCTCCTCTTCGTTCTCGTCCCTCTCCTCCTTCCCCTCCTCGTCCTCCTTGTCCTCCCCTCCCACTCCTCAATATCGATCAATATCAATATCATATTCCTGTAATGTTAAATCTTTCATCAAAATCGTGTTTCATAAACTTAAAGTTTTTTAAAATATGATTTACTCCACAGGTTACACTTTTCAATATTATTTCCAAGCTATAAGTTTTTCAACACCATGTTCCACGAATGTTACATAACAATGTACTTCAATATGACGATTCCCAAACTTAAAGCAATTGTATATCATGATCCTCAAGCTTACACTTAAAGTGTTCCAATACAATGCTCTCTAAACTTGAACTTTTCAGAAGCATGTTCTCGTAACTTCATAATCTCAACGTCAACGTCATATTCTCAACACTTTCACTTTTTTGACATCGTAGTCTCCAAACTTTAAGTTTCCGTAAATTTAAAAGTAAACTGTAAAACTACCAGGGAATGTAAAACAAAGGGTGCGGTGGCGGAGCGGTTAGTGCGATCGTCTCCAAAGCGGAAAGTCCGGGTTCGAGCCTCGGTTCGGACACAGATTCTTTTCGCCCCCTCCTGCCCACCCAACAGTAATGGGTACCTGACTTCGAGTTGGGGAAGTAAAGGCGGCGTTGAAAGGAACTGGCCACCTAACCACAATATGCCGTAGGCCCAGAAAGTTGTCTCACTAACAAGGCAATCCCCAATACCCGGATCGGGTGCGGGAACAATTGTACTTTAATATTTTAAAAAAGTCTTTAGACATCATGTTCTCCAAACTTTCAGTTAAATCAACAGTAAACATTTCGGGTCGGTAATGTAAGGTAAAAATTTATATCTTTAAGCAATACATTCTCCAAGCGTTCTATAAAATCAATTGTTTAACCCTATCCGTACATCGTGTTTTACTATCGTATCCATATGACGTAGGGAACTCTGCCACCACTTTTCAAAGAGGAAATTTAGTTTGCTTTGCAAAGCAGTCTCCCAAAATGTTTTTCTGGGAAATACTGAAAGTTTCAAAGAGATCTTCGTACTAGAAGTATTCTAAAATGTGAAGAATACAACAGCGTGGGTACAAAATGACCCCAGGGCGTACGGTTAGGGTTAAATACCTGTGAATGTAAAGTAAAAATACGAGTCTTTAGGCATCATGTTCCCCCACTCTCACCTGCACAGGTACGAGGTACTCCTTGTCCTTGGAAGCCTCCTCACTACAGTCCACCATCACACCATCGGCCAGGCAGTCCTCTACACTCAGGTCCTCTAAGGTCAGACCGTCTGAACAGAAAGAATAGGGGAGGGATAGGTAAAACAGCACCTGGACATGGATGGCTGGTGCCTCTATAAATAAATCATCGATGGTCAAGGCTGTGAAGGCTGTCTATTCATTCATTCATTCATTCATTCATTCATTCATTCTTTCTTTCTTTCATTCATTCATTCATTCATTCGTTCATTGGTTAATTCATCTATTCATTCATTTATTCAGTCATTCATTTATTCGTTAATTAATTAATTAATTCATTCATTCAATCACTCATTCATTCGTTAATTGATTCATTGATTCATTAAATCATTCATTCACTCATTCATTCAACCATTTTCCTATTTATTTAATTTATAATTGTTATCAACCGATCAATAAAAATTATTGATTCAATGGTCGAACCAATTTTTGCGGAATTTGTCGGAAATCTACTCGTTCAAACAAAAGGCACGCGAAAGACATATATGGCATACCTAGATGGGCGGATAAATTATGTGAATACTGAGTAGCAAGCCTATCTTACACTGAAAACACGCATTTATCTTTGCAGTTGCAAAATGACACTATCACAAACGACAGCACTACTAAGAAACTGTTAAGTATAATTGTACTTTGAATAACGAATGTATGCCTCTCCCTCTTTTCTATCTCTCTCTCTCTCTCTCTCTCTCTCTC